TTAGATCAACAGTATCCTGTGTCCTGTGCCGCCTGATCTATGATGTCCCTATGCTAATTGTTGGACTATATCCTCTTATTTGTTCTAGCCAGGATAGCCAGTGGTGGAGAATGATGGGAGCTGCAGTCCAACACCATCAGAAGGTTCTTACACAGGCTGTTTTCAGCCTAGTGGTCAGTGATGTCTATGGTCAGCTTGAATACTTTCCTAGCAGGGCAGGAACATCAGACAGGAGAAAGGGGCATTGTAGCCAGAGGCTAACATTTCAATATTTCTGGAAATTTTGTAACCACTTTTTGGGGTAGGTGGGGAAAGAGATTTAAGGGGAAACTTGAATATATGCAGTATTTATTTTACTATTTAACAGGTTGTGAGGAGCAGGGCCATTCTACCAATCCTACCAAAAGGTTGGCACTTCCCTCATCTGTCCAACACCAGCTTCAGCAGACGGAGACGTAGGCCTCATTCCCACTACATAATAAACCAGTTTGCAAGTAGATATGAACCAGTTTAAACTGCCCTTGTTCGCACATGCACCGATTCCCTGATGCGGTTTGTGAAGGGGGCCCCAGCGCTAAAGATATTTCAAGCGCTTCTTCCAGATCTGCTGAATTCCCTGTGTCTTTTGCAATGAATTGACTCAGCGCTAGTGTGAATGAGCTACAGATCTGAATCAGTTCCCTGTGGCACAATCAGCCCTGTGAAGCAGCTCCATGTTGAATCAATTCATTGATGAATGTGAATGTGAAGTGGATTAAATTGAAATGGGTAAGGTTCGATCGCTGCTCGAATAGTATGAATGTCTATTCGGCGCTAAATCGCTTCATCGATTTGACTCAAAAACTGGTTTATTCTGTAGTGGGAATGAGGCCGTAACAAAACGGACAGCAATTCCACAAGTCTTGAAATAATACTGTATTTATTTCCTGTCCTTCACCCAGTCTCCAGCCTTTGCTCCACTTTTCATTTTGTGTTCTGTCATTTCAGGTTGAATACTTGCAAATAAAGACTAAATTAATCTGCAGCATTTACATAACTATTTTTTTCATATGGAACACTTTATTTATTTAAATACCGCAATACCCTAAAGGCACCAGATCCCATCTGACCTTAGAAGCTAGGAAGGGTCAGCTCTGGTTTGTAATTGGATGAGAGGCCAGCAACAAATACCAAGTGCTGTAGGCTATATTTCAGAGGAAGGAACTGGCAAAAAAATCTTTGAGTATTCCTTGCCTAAGAAAATTCTCTTAGGCTCTCTTTTTGTATTTATTTGTATTGTTATTTAAATTGTGGGCTTCTTTGAGTCCTGATTTTATGGGGAAAGCAGGATGTAAATATAATAAATACATAAAACCCTATTAAATTCATGGGGTCTCCAATAGGATGACAAGTGACTTGAAGGCACATCCAAACACACACTGTCACATGTGCTTAAAAGAAGTAAATTTCATATTGATTCCATGGGCTTTGTATGCATAAAATAATACTGAAAGAAGGCTTGCCTAATATAAATGGAATGTTATGGCAGAATATTAACTGGAAGAGTTTGTTTTCCGGCCTCTTCATTGACTTTATTTCTTGCAGGAAGCTTGCTGAGTCATTCAGTGTTTCACAACCCTCTACAGAGGCAATTCTGAAGATTGTAATCTGAATTAGCAAAAATATCTTTCCCAGTAAATGACACCAGGTAATAGGTAACATTTAGGTAAAGGTAAAGGTATTCCCCATTGACAAGGTAGTGTCCAACAATAGGAGGCAGTAGTCATCTGAAGAGCCAGTGTTGTCAGAGACTATTCTGTGATCCTATGGCCAGCATGATTGCACAGAATGCTGTTTACCTTCCCACCAAAGTGGTACCTATTTATCTACTTGCATTTGCATGCTTTTGAACTGCTAGGCCTCCTGGAACTAGTGACAGGAGCTCACCCCATCATGCAGCACATGAGCCTTGAACTGCCAACCTGCCGATCTTGAATCAACAGAGTCAGCGGCTTAACCACTTGAGCCACTGCATTTAACATTTAGACAGTACTTTATCCATTATCTCAGTAGAAGCTGCTGGAGGTGTGGGTCCAACCTCCTATTTCAAGGATTAAGAGACTGAGATGGAGAAAATGTTCTGTTCATCTGGTCAGCCTTTCCCAGCCTGATTCTCTCCACAACTGAGCTGCATTACAGCTCCTCTCATAAAATGGCCATTGGCAAGCAATATCAGCAGTACTTGACATTAGGTTGCCAAAATCAGCCCCTAAACCATCCAGATTACAACTGTGCATCGCCACACAGCAGGAACCCAAATAATTTACAAGCAGAATAACAAGATACCTTGAAAGGAGTGGGTCAAGCCACACATAATATGCATTATATATCAAGGATTTAAGCACTCAGACATTTTGGAAAAACTTTGGTTTTTTTAAATGAGAAGACACCAACATCTGAGAGATGGCAACACCTATGAGAGATTATAACAACCCTATTCTAATTCTCTTGTCCTTTTCTCAGGGACTGTTGGCTGACAAGAGTGTTGGACTATATGTTGTTGGTCTATATGAATGCTAGTGGTTTGCCCAAAGTCACAGCTGAATAAAAGGCATTGTACAGTATTCAACTGTGTATTCAAATACAAATGTGTCCTGAGCCTCCAAATACCAAACCGTTCCTTCGACATCCAGGTCTGCTTCTGAAGCCTAACAACCATTTCACAAAAAGTAAGTTAATTATCCATTTTACATGTTCAATTAACGTTCCTTCTGTTCACTACCATAGCATGAGAATGATGTGGCCCTCCAAATTTAAATCCCAGCAACTCTAGCCTGCATAGACAGTGATGAGGAATTATTACTACTGCTGAAAATCACGGTCCTAACAAAGTATGGCAATCTGAACAATTTCCCCCCTTGGTCTGGCATAATATATCTTTCTCTCAGATCCTTTAGTCAATTGATTTTCAAATATCCCCTGCTAATTAGCAGTAAATTCCTGCTCTTCAAAACAATGTTTTAAAAAAGTTTTATAATGATATATAGCTTGGTGGAGGTGGATGCTGATGGGCTTTGCTAATTATGAATTTTATATAGTCTCAATAATCTCCCACCACCACCAATAACAAAAGTACTGTAGGTTAGTGTTTTCACCATCAACAAAGGTTGAGAACTCTTGGAAATCCAATATGAAATATATGTCTATAGGGTCAAATATTACACAACATTCTAAAAATATTTTGATGTTTTTTTAAAAATATAAATGCAAAAGGGGGGTATAAATATAGGAATAAAATGGGCTTGGACTATGTATCAATATAAGTTGGCTGTATATCCAAAAAGATATATACATGGAGTTGCTGTATGCCATCAATTTGGCTTTGATTTATGGTAACCTATAATGAGAGAGCTCCGAGACAACCAGTATTAATGGCCCTACTCACACTGAGATCCAAAGATTGTATTAACTTTGATGAGGATATTGTAATCTGTTTTAATGTTGTTATATGTTTTTACTGTTATGTTCATTTTTTATCCTATTGCTATTTTAACTATGAATCATTTAATACTGTTTTAAGGGGGTGGGTTGGTATCTTTTTTTGAAATATGTTATACGGGTTTTATTGTAAGCTGCTTGGATTGTTTGCCAATGAGCGGGATATAAATTTATTATTATTATTATTATTATTATTATTATTATTATTATTATTATTATTATTACTGTTGTCCACTCATGAATTTTCTCTTGTTGGGTGGGCAAACTGTGGCCTGCAGGCTGCATGCAGGTCCTTGCTGTGTGTTTGGCCCCCAGAGCCCTGAAGTATTTATTTTGCAATTAAAAAAATACATTTGTCCCCTATGTGCTCTAGAAGGCATGGAACATTTTTGTCACCCATGGGCCAATTTAGGCCCCCCCCCAAGAGGTCTTTCTGTAATGGGAAATTAACAGGAAGTTACTTCCAACTCACTTCTTGTTAAAAAGGGCCTCTCCTGGGTCTAAATTGGGCAGGGGGCTAAAATATGGCAAAAATGTCCCCATTTCCCTTAGAGGATATTTGGGAGCAAAAACTGTTTTAAATTATTTTGGGGTATGTGTGTGTGGGGGGGTTCAGCCTGCAAGGACTCCTTGGGGGCTAATATTGCCCCTTAGCCTTCCAGAATTGCCCACCCCTGGCTTAAATGATGAGATACTCAGGAATGTGGCAGCAGTCCAACTTCAAGCATTGTTGAATAAAACATGATCTAGACAACTGATTCACTATACAATTTCCTGGAGGTAAATCCTATTCAACATGGCAGGACTTCTATGCATATGTTTACTTTGGATGGCAACCCTCCCCCTGCCACCACCCTTGATTTTGTTCTTCTTTTCAACATACCTACTTCTGTGCAAATCATTTCAGGAATTTTTAAAAATAAAATAAAGCTATAAATAAAGTTTGGCCTTTGAGAAAGTTGGGTATATTTAAATGCCAGCAGCCATATCAGAAGAGGGGTTTTGGGTGGGTTTTTGTAAGAAAGAAAGATAGATAAATGTGAAACAGTTTGATTCTGACATTGTTTTTAAACATCCGTTTCTAGAAAAAACATTCTTAGAATCATAGAATCATAGAGTTCCCTCCTCAATATGACATCCCTTCAAATATCTATACAGGGCTATCATATCACCTTTTAACCTTCTCTTCTCCAGGTTAAACATCCCCAGCTCCCTAAGTCGTTCCTCATAGGGCTTGGTTTCCAGACCCTTCACCATTTTAGTTGCCCTCCTTTGGACACACTCCAGTTTCTTCACATCCTTTTTGAATTGTGGTGCCCAGAACTGGACACAGTATTCCAAGTGAGGTCTGACCAAAGCAGAATAGAGTGGCACTATTAATTTTCTTCTTGTTTTCCAAAGCTTTTGGAATTTTAGTTTAATATTATTATTTTTTTACAATCTTGTATATGTTGGTTATGTGTATGTGTCAGTTTGCTTTATATTATATTGCACTGGTTTGTATTTCTCTGTCTATATAAACCAGCCAGTGTGGTGCAGTGGTTTAAGCATTGGACCACAGCTCTAGAGAACAGGGTTCAAATCCCTGCTTGGTTGTGGAAACGTTGACCTTGTTACCTTGAGCAAGTTGCATTCTCTAAGCCTCAAAGGAAAGCAAAGATAAACCCACTGTGAACAAATCTTGCCAAGAAAACCCTGAGGCACACAACAAAAATTCTATTATGGGGGAAAAGTCTATTACAGAACAGACTGAAAACAGGAAATTACATAACCCCACTAGTGGTCAAATACATCTCCCAACTGAGGCCACTCAAATGTATCATCACTGAAGCACAACCTATTTTGAACAATAACACTGCCCTCTGAAAGGCTCTTGATGGGAAGGCCTTTCCTGGCCTACAGACAGCCTGCCAATCTGAACCAGTTACTTACTTACAGGGGAATGCACAACACAGGTGGGGAAACATGTACAAGACCTTACCACAAATGCAGATGCCAACTCTGCTCACACATCTACTTGGAAAACCTAATCCATAATATTGGATTACTTGGAGGACCTAATCACATAACCCACAATATTAGAGACACTTTCACTTGCTCATCCTCTAATCTGATCTATGCCATCCTCTGTCAATTATGCCCTTCAGCACTCTACATCGGGGAAACAGGCCAGTCTCTATGCCAGAGAATAAATGCAAATAAATCAGATATTAGGAACAGAAACACACAAAAGCTTGTTGCACAACACTTCAGTCTTCCTGAGCATTCTACCTCTGATCTCAGGACAGTGGTCCTTGTAAATTAAAACTACAAAGGGAGATTATAAAGAGAAACAGCTAAGTTACAATATACTCGCAAACTCCAATCCATCAACAGTGAGTGGGTTGAACAAAGGCAATGGCTTCCTGGCACACTACACATATCATAACACTCTTAGCCAGTTTAGCATAGCTCCATTTTTGTTCTCAGGCTGCCCACAACACATTCCAAAACTCCTTCCCACCATTTCATATGGACACCCACCCACTATGGCCATAGGCAACATCTTCCTTCCTGCCCTTGTCCCTCAACAACCATAGTTAAAGCTGAACCTGTCACCTCATCACCATACCCACACATTTTACATTTCCATAGGTATTCATACAGTCTAATTATAAAAGTCTTTCCTGGGCATCATTTCACTCCATGCATCTGAGGAAGTAGACCAAGTTATGAAAGCTTATCCTACAACTTCTACATTCTTGGAGGTCCTGGTCATCCGCAAACTGAACCCATGTTTGGGCCACACAGTATACAGAAACCTATACACAGAGAGACAGATAACTACACAAGAACTCCAGTCATCATCCAGAACAAAACAAACAAAATACACACACACAACCACTGGCAGACCGAGCAAAAGGGATCTGTGCACCCCACTTCCTGGAAGATGAATTTAAGCACTAGGCTGGGCTCTACAGGCGAATGGTTACTCCAGCTCAGACATCAGAAGGGCTGCCAGATTCAGAAAAAAACCCAGAGGAGTGAAGACAAACAACCACAGAAAGGGAAGGTATTTTTACCACATATCAAAGGAGTCACAGACAGAATAGGGAAAGTGGTAAGGAAACACAATCTCCAAATGATATACAAACCTACCAAGAAAATCCAGCAAATGCTGTGCTCAGTGAAAGACAGGAGAGACACTCTCACAGAAACAAGAGTTTACTGCATACCATGCAGCTGTGGACAAGTCTATATTTGTTGTTGTTAAGGGTCCTCAAGTCAATCTCGACCCATGGCAACCCTATGGATGAAACATCTCCAAGAACCCATG